ACAAGGACAACAGCGGGAATGGGACGGGACTGGGACGGGACTGGGACAGGAGTGGGACAAGGACAACAGCGGAACTGGGATGGGACTGGGACAGGACTGGGATGGGACTGGGATGGGACAAGGACAATGGTGGGACTGGGATGGGACCGGGATGGGGCTGGGATAAGGACAGCGGCAGGGTTGGGATGGAACTGGGACAAGGACAGCAGCGGGACTGGGGTGGGAACGGGACGGGGCTGGGACAAGGACAGCGGCAGGGCCGGGCCGGGACCGGGCGGGCAGCCCGACCCCGACACCCCCTCGGCTGCCTTGGCCCGGTTACCCCGAGCCCGCCGCCCTCACCGGCAGCCCCGGGCGCTGCCATCCCGGTGCCACCCCCCCCCCCCCCCCCCCCCGCCGTGTGTCACCGTGTCACCGCTGACGTGCTCCTGCGCCCGTCTGCCCCCCGACCCAGCCCCACGGCGCCGGGCTCACGGCCGGCAGCTCCGGGGCCACTCGTGACACGGGGCGGTCACACCTCGGGGGGCGCCGGGCCCCGCACCGGGGCGGGACGGCCCCCTCCTGCCCCCCCCCAGTCCGTCCCCGTCCGCCCCACAACGGACGCGCCCCCCCGCGGACAGCCGGTAGGAGAGACAGGCCCCGCCCCGCCCCCGAGGTGACCTCACTGTGACGTCACCAGAGCGCCGCCGCCTGGTTGGTGTCCGCAGCTATCCGTCACGGCAGGGGTGGGAGGGAAGGGGGGGGGACACACACAGAGCACGGCCGCCGCCTGAGGTAACCGGGGGGGAACCGAGGGGTCGCGGCCGCCCGGCCCGAGGGAGCGGGCGGGACCGGTCACCACCCCCCCCCCCGGGGCCGGGGGAGCTGCAGGGCCCGGATCCGACACCCCCCCACACCCAGCGGGCAGGGCTGTGGCCTTGCAGGGCTCCCTGGGGAGTGGGGAGGGTGTTTTTTTTTTGGGGGGGGGGGGGGGTCCACACCGCACTCGTGGAGCTCGGGCGATCCCCAGCCCTGATGGGGGGGGGGCGGGGTACAGGGGAAATGGCGGTTTAGGCCTTGAACCGAGAACCGCCCCCTCGCACCGGGCTGGGGTAACACCCCCCCACCCCCCAGCCCCCGGGGATGGGACACCGGTGCCCCCCGCGGCGGTGCACACAGCTACACCCCCCCCCCCCCCCCCGGTCCTGAGAACCCCCTCCGCCTGCACCCCCTCTTTCCCTCCCACCCCCCAGCCTGCAAACGGGTCAAGGAATGGGCCCCACATAGAGGTGACCCCCCCACACCCACCCAGAGCGTGGGGAGGGCTGGTGTGACCTTGTCCCCCCCCCGACTGAAGAGGTCAGTGGGGCAAGTAACTGCCGTCACCTGCCCGTGCATCAGCTGGGGAGCTGCCACCTTTTGGGGGGTTCTCGGGGCTGCAGGGAGGGGGGACGCCAGCACCAGGGTCCGTACTGGTGGGTAGAGCCCTCGCTGGGTGCTCTGCACCTGTGCTGGTGGCCCTGTGACACCCTAAAAATGGTCACCCAGGGAGTCACCGAGTCAAACCCAGGGCCACGGAAGGGGTGGCACTGCCGGGAGGGCAAACCTGGGTCCCAACCCCTGAGCTCAGACAGCAGCGATGCCACAAACCCTCCACGCAGCGGGTGCCCCCACAGCTCAGCCTCCTGCCACCCCTGAGCTATGGGGCAGCACCAGCTGCTGCCCCACAACTGCCCCGGGAAGGTGCCAGCGGGGGTCAGGGTGGCTCTCGCCTCCGGGTCCGTGGGGCTGCGGTCAGCCTCGCTCACACGTACGGGACCGGAACAGTTATTTGGGATTAAAATCCCATTTTTCCTTCCTCTAGATCACAGCACAGATCAGCTTCCAGCCTCACCAAGCCAAACTGGATTTCAACCAGTGATTTGTAAGGTGAGACTCTGCGTCCCCCTGCTCCATCCCCAGGCTGTTCAAGACCACACGGTGCCACTGAAACTGCCTAAACTGCCATATAAAAGGTTTTGTACCTAATGGGATATTTGCCAGCAAATTCGAGCCACGAACACTATATATTTCTTTATTTGTAAAGGTGTTTGAAGTCCTTGAATTTACCCTTCGGCCACCTTAAATCTAGTTTCTAATCCCCACCGCAGTTAATCAAATCCACAGTGGTTTGAATTATGAGATGTCTGGGGGGGATTTATAGCTTGTATTGCTGATTATACCTTGACTTTATTATATTGCAAATATCTAACTTATGGTCACGGCTGAGATTTACAATCCTTAGGTAGGTGCTTAGGATAACTTTTAGCAACTCCAGATGTAATTGGAGGTGACTGATGGGGCTGTCGCCACAAATAAACACGTAATCTGTAAAATGTTAAGACAGAGAAAGAAGGGCAGAGTAGATGAAAAGGATGGTTCAGCCTTAAGAAAATAATAATATAATTGGATGTATTGCTGAGCAGGGCTCTGGGATGCCTGGTCTGGCTGAGGCATCCCTGCCTGGGACAGGGTTTTGGGCTGTTTAGTCTCCAGAAAATATCAGGATTTAGGTTTTTGTTCCTTCTTGCTCTCAGCTGAAGGTTTTCAGGGTTTGCGATAGCCCTGGGGAGGGGGAAAGGGTAATAAGTAGAAATTGGGGTACTCACAGAGCTGACGCCTGCCTCCCCAGTTTGCGGGGGGGGCTTGGCGCCTGTGGCTCTTTCGGACCTGACCAGCGGTTTCTCCCCTGTTATGGAGGAGCAGTGAGTCCTGCGTGGGTGCGTGCCCCTCAGCCAGCATGACGAGCGAGGTGGTGGAGAACGAGTGTGAGTTTTACTCCAAGGCGGAGAAGTACTGGAAGGATGTGCCCGCCACGGTGGACGGCATGCTGGGGGGCTACGGCCACATCTCCAGCATCGACATCAACAGCTCCAGGAAGTTCCTGCAGAGGTTTCTGCGGGTAGGTGGCACAGTCTGTCATGCTCCCAAAGCCCCATCCTTCTCCCAGCACGGAGCTGGGCTCTTCCCTCTGAGTTGCTCCGTGGGATCATCCGTTGCGTGTGTGCTGGGAGAGCTCTGCCCTGCAACAGGCCCCCCCATAGCCCAGCTGCACCCTGCATGGTTGCCCCATTTCTCTTCTGTGGGTACCTCACGGTGGGATTCAGCCCTTCATGGTTGTTGTTCCAGGACGGTCCCAACCGGACGGGGACAACCCGTGCTCTGGACTGCGGGGCGGGCATCGGCCGGATCACCAAGCGGCTGCTGCTGCCCCTCTTCAAGACGGTGGACATGGTGGACGTGACGGAAGACTTCCTCACGAAGGCCAAGAGCTACCTGGGAGAGGAGGGCAGGCGGGTGCGCAACTACTTCTGCTGCGGCCTCCAGGACTTCAGCCCCGAGCCCAGCTCCTACGATGTCATCTGGATCCAGTGGGTCATCGGTGAGGATCACTTGGCTTGCGGGGTCTTGCCAGCCTGTCCTGTCTAGCTTCCCCCGAGAGGCAGCTGCCCCACACGCTGGGGAGAGCTTGAGGGAGAACAGCTTGAGGTGTGCCTAAGGATGAGCAGCACAGCATGGGTGGAGGGCTGGGTCGGGGACCTACCCCCTACCGCCTGCTGCCCCATGGAGGGGCACTCTGAGGGCACTGTACTGTGGGGTCTTTTCCCCACGCCCTCGGAGTCCGGGGCAGAGGTGTGGGTTGGATGGAGCCCGCGGGACACAAGTTGCACACCCCCAAGCTAAAGCTTGCACCTGCAAATGGCTCAAGTATTTGGCTGTCCGGATCAGGAGGGATCCCAACCGCAGTCTCCTGGTCTCCTCCCTGTCTCCTACCCTGGTCACCCTGTGCCCTCTAACTCCCGGCTCTGCCCCTCCAGGACATCTCACCGACAACCACCTCTCCGACTTCCTGAAGCGGTGCCGCGCTGGCCTGCGGCCCAATGGCATCGTGGTCATCAAGGACAACATGGCTCAGGAGGGCGTGATCATGGACGATGTGGACAGCAGCGTCTGCCGGGACCTGGACGTGGTTCGTAAGATCATCCGCCGAGCTGGGCTGCACCTCCTGGCCGAGGAGCGCCAGGAGAACTTCCCTGATGAGATCTACCACGTCTACACCTTGGCCATGAGATGAGGGCGGCGGGAGAAGGTCTCTCCAGGGCCAGCTCGGAGCACGGGCCAGCACGGTGGTTCCTACCGGGGCCGGGTGAGGACCGTGCCTTCACCGTGGGGTGGCAGACGGCAGTGAGGGAGTCACAACTCCCTCTCTCTAGGGCTGGTGTCAAGGATGGGGCTTTGTCTTCCAAGTTGCTGCTGTTTGTGAAAAGAGGTGTTTGCCAAATACATTTTCCTGCTGTTGCACTTCTGCACGTGGGCTTTGTTGGATGCTGTGTTGGCTTGATGCACCTTCGGGGGCTCTGTATGGGAGCAAGAGGGTCTCCCCTACAAGAGGCATGCTCCCGTTAGGAACAATTCCTGCACGGGACTCCCGTTAGTGAACAGGAGCTCAGAGCACCTCTGTGAGGGTCTGGGCTCCCTTCCTTGCTTGGGTGTTTGACCCTTTCCTGCTCTTGAACTTGCTGCTGCTCACAGCAACAAGCTGGGTAAAAGCAAATGAAAGAAATCTCTGCACCGGGTTCTGGGGCTTTGTGGGGGCCTCTCCTTTAAACCAATGAGCAGGTCTCCCACACACGCAGCAAAAAGGGAGGTGGATGTAATCCCAGGCCCCCAGGGTGCCCAGCACCTCCAGCTCAAACACTGCAACACTACAGCTGCTCCCCCAACACCCCACACCATCACCCAGCTGTGAAACACTCTCATCTCCTCCTCGGTCGTATCCGCATCGTTTTGCCCAACTCTGGCCGCTGGCTTGTGCCAACCCAACACAACACAACCTGGCCAGCACTGGCATGGCCACTGGCCAGGTGGCTGAGCCCACAGGCAGACCCCAGTTGCCGCGTATCCCTCCAGCCAGGCTCACACACCAATCCCCCCATCCCCGCAGAGCCCCCATTTCTCCTGCAGAAGAAACAAGACCCTTATTATTATAAAAGGCCTTGTTTAATTGCTCGTTTCCCATTTCAGACACCAGGGGAGTATCACATTTTTTTTTTTTTTTTAAACATCAATTCATCGAAATGCACAGCTCCAGTTCCACAGGGTGGGAGAAGGCAAAATTCAGATGCTGCCAGGAGGGCAATGGGGGGAGACAACTCTTCTGCAGGTGGATCCCAGATCCACCTGGGATAAACTGTACCTACTTGGAATAGATCCTTTCTCTTTTCATCCTCTTCTGCATTTGCCTCCCATGACAAACAAAAAACAACAAAAACGTGGGGGGCTCAGCTCTGCAGCCAGTCTTTGGCATGTCATGAAGAAGCAGATGCCTAGAAGGGGGAGCCAGACAGCTGTGGCAAGGCTGGGGCACAGGACCTCCATGTGTGGCCCCAGAGTTTGTAGCTTCCAGTAGCAGGCTGGAAAGAAAACGCCGAGTCCTGCTGCAACTTGTTCCTGGGAAGGAGGCACTGGAAACCACGGTCCTGGGAGCAGTCAGCAAGGGAGAGCCAAGGAACAGGGGGGGAGGCCCAAGGCTCTCAGCAGTTAGCTGCCCGTTCCTCATCCTTGCACAGGCATTGCACCACAAAGCCAAGAAACATCCATTTGTCTGTTTTGGAGCCCAGCACCTCTGAGATATCCTTGGGGGATGGTCCTCTGTGCCGGGAGGATGGGGTGCAGAAACTCAGAGGCTGCAGAGCAGCTGGCCACCACCGCCAGCCCCACTTCCCCTCACTCCCAGCCCTGGTTTCAGAAGCCTGAGTGAGCAAGGAAGGCATCCACATGGAGATGCCAGACCCCTAGCACCAGGACACCAATGCCAGCACTCTCCTGGCACAGGGAACACCTCTTCTCCCTGCACCCCCAGGCATCTCACAACTCTGCTGGTCACCTAAGGCACTGCTTCACCCCCCCAAGACCCAGCAGGGCTGGAGGGAGAGAGGACAGGCTGCCTTTCCAATCACACCACCCCAACTGCCCTGCTGGTCCTGCCTGCCAGGCTTTTTCTTAAAAGCCACACAAACCAGCTTTCTGCCCCAGTATCCAGCTCCCCAGGGCTCTCTTCCCCCTCAGGGAGCCACAGAGCTCTGCCTGCCTCCCCACAACATGCCCCAGAGGCCTCTATGTGGCATCGTACCCAAAAAAACACACGCCCCAAAATGCACCGTGGGCAGCACCGGCCAAGCTGTGGGTGTGTGCGTGGACAGCAACACCTCTTGCTGTGGAGAAAACCGGCCCAGAGCAGAGATTTGGTGGCTGTAGGCACAGCGTGACCACGGAGGTGGGGAGGTAGAGAGGCGTTAGTCAGGCTCAGAGGTCCTCGTGCCCAGCAGCAGCGTGGTCAATGAGGAGGTACCACTTCAGCCTGTCTGGAAGAGGTAGAGCCTTGATTTTGACATCTACTGGCCACGGTTTAAGGCGCTGCCGGATAAACACCCTGCAGAGATGTTTCAGTGCCTGAGGGGAGCGCTCCAGCTGCTTCAGAGAGCAGAAGAGAGTCCTGATCTTCTCCCCGTGGTACCTACAGCTGCTGGTGTTGACCTCAAAGTTGCTGGGCAGCTGGATGGTTTGTGAACTGGCCATCATGAGCTCCAGCAGAGTCTGACCCTTCTGGATGAGGTCTGTAGAGAAGCTGTCATCTTCAGAGACGCTGAGGTGCGAGCAGAGGCACTCGAAGATGATGTGGAAGCCCGACCAGCATGAGGGACCATGGAGGGAGCAGTTGTAGGCAGCACCTGACTCCAGCAAGAAACGCAGCAGCGGGAAGTGGCGTTTGAAGCTTTTGAAGCAGAGGTGGGTGAGGGACTCGGGGGCTGGGCACTCGCTGGGGTTGGCACCGTGGGCTAGCAGCAGCTGCGTGACACGAAAGCAGAAGTGATTGATCACCTGTGCCTCCTCGGTGTTACTGCACACCATTTCTCCCAGCAGAAAGATGACGTAAGTAAAGACAGTGTCACCATCTTTGGTGGCGGCCCTCACGTCCGCACCTGGAGAAAGGGACAGACAACATAACTGGCGTTGCAGACAATGAGGCCAGGACAGCACTAACACTGGCACTGTTGGGCTTTATTCTTTTTCAAGTGGGAACATAAAGGAATGGGAGGCAGTGCCCGGTGCTGTCCAAAGAATCAGCCAACACTAGGCCTGGAGGGACTGTGCATGGAGAGGGGAGAAGGTTGTTCTCACCTCCTTCCAGCAGGAGACGGATGCTGTCGGTGTTGTGGATCTGGACACCATCACTGCTGGCGAGGGCGTGCAACAGCGCTGTCTTTCCTGCAATGGAGCAATCGGTCAGTCAGAAGAAAATAGGATGACACCCTAAAAGGCAGGAAGGAAAAGAAACCACCCCACCAACCAGATGGCCAAACATGGGGAGAGACAACCCTTCTCCTTCTGGCAGGCTTCCTCTGTGCCCATGACTGTGCACAGCTGTGGGGACAGGGTCACAGTCCACATATGAAGGGGCTGGTGGTGGCCTCAGAAGGCACGTTTGCCACAGTACAGTGAGTTTTAGAGTGGAGGTACAGCCCCATCTCATCTCCCATGGACTGGGCAGAGCTGGCCCCCTTATGCACCTGACAGAACCAGCACATAAGGCAAAAACAGAGCACCAAGGAGGTTCTACAGCCTACACCCAGCTTCCAAACCAGTTTGTAACTGGAGAGCGCTTGCAGCAGCAACATGGAAGGTCCCAGACCCACTGCTCTGCTCTAGCCCACCCACGAGGGCCAACTGCTGAGAGCACCCAGGCTGGGGGAGCCAGACGGGGCACACAGACCGTTTTTGTCAGCTGCATTGACATTGGCCCCCAGCTGAAGCAGCCGCTGGAGGCACGGCAACCGCTCGGGCTCCTCGCTGGCCAGATCAAGGGGACTGCTCTCATGGATCTGCACAGACCAAGAAGAAATAAAAAACAAAACACTAGTAAGTATTAAAAGACTATTTGTAAATGCTTCCATTTCTCAAGGGGCCTCAGCACGGCCAAGCCCGTACCCGGTCTCTCCGGTTGATGTCAGCCCCGTGGTGCACCAGAAGCTCCACCATGTCCAGCTGGTTGCGGAGCACTGCGATGTGCAGGGGGGTGTAGTAGGTGACTGGATCTGAGAACAAAACCACAGAGTCAGAGAGAACTAAGGGCTTCCCCACAACGGCCCTGATACCCACTAAAAGTGGAAGGAGGCAGCTGGGGAGGGTCCCATGAATTCAGCGATGCCCGTGAGAACAGGGCTGTCACAGACACCCCAGGTCCTGCTTTCGCAATGACCCCATCTCTGGCAAAAGCCCTCAAAGCTGCAAACTGGTCCCCCCAAGCCCCTGGCCATCCCCCAACCTATCCCTGGGGCTGGGTCTGGACAAGGGCTGCCACAAGTCACATCCACGCTATCCCAGCAAAGAGTGGGGGGGTCTGAGCTAACAGCATCCCTTTTCTGCCCCAGCTCTCACCGCCTCCCAGGGCGGCTTCTCACCAGCTGGCTCCTCCCGGCCAGGCCCAGCTCCCATCCCACCAGCCTCACCTTCAAAGCTGAGGTCAGCTCCAAACTCCAGGAGGATTTCTGCAGCGGGGACGAGCCCCAGCTCGGTGACTTTCAGCAGGGCATAGCTCACACCTTCCTGATAAAACGGGGAGTGGGTCTCCCTCTCCAAGACTCGTCTCACAGCTGAGAGCTGGCTCCTGTCGCTGCCCAGACAGGCAGGGCTTAAGATGCACAAAAACAGCCAGTTATTCAGTTGAACAGCAGGTTTTGGGAATGTGCAAGGGTCAAAGTAGCATCAGGGAAGAAGAAAAATCCCTAGTCTCCCGTCTTGTCTTATAACCACCAGGGCTCTAATGTGTTGGCTGTGGGGTTATGCCACAGCATCAGGGGCACAGCTGAACTCCAGTTTAGGGTTTATTGCCAGGGGTCAGGCTGCTCCTGGGGAGCACACATAGCTGCTGTGTTTGCTCTGATCCACCCTCACGTTCCCAAAGAGCAGCAGCAAGAGGAGGGTCCGTGGTATGAGCTGCTCACCAGGACTGGGGTTTGTTCCCAGTTGATGCTGTGTCTGACCTCGGTGGCATCACTGAGCCTCAGCTGTCACCCCCTAAAACACCACGAGGGTGTTTAAGACCCGGAGCTCTGCTCACAGTCCCGTCTAGTTACCTCTCAAGGGCACTCTGCCGTTCCGCATCCTGTATCGCCAGCAACCCCAAGATCTCGTCTACCAGGGGCTGATACTCGAAGATGATCCTGCGGAAGCCGTGCAGGAAAGGCATCGTGCTCTGCTCCACGCACAGACCACCCAGGGGCCTCCAGCATGGCAGTGGTGTCTTCCCCCCACGCAGGACTCTAGCAGGCAGACCCCAGTTTCCAAAGCTCTTTTCCCTCCTGTTTAAAAAAAAAAAAAAAAAACAACCAAGCATTTCTAGCAATTTTGTGTTTAATAGAAACCCACAGCCTGCCTCCCTCCCTCCTTGCGCGTTTCTAAAACGCAACAAAGACCAGCGCAGGGATCTTCACGCCACAGAGGTGTTACTCAAATTATCTTCAGCGTACAGAGTCACAAATTGGGAGTTATCTGGATGCAGGAAGAAAACAGGCCAGGCGGAGCCCAGGCTCGGGGCAAACCCCCTCGGCAGAGGCTCTGTCACAAGCCCCCCACCAGGCTGGGGGTGCCCGGGGGGAGCACAGACAGAGCAGCGAGGGGCTCCGACCGCTCCGGGGTGCCCGGAACCAGCAGACCCTGAGGGCGGAGCAGGGCTGGAGCAGCCCCCACAAGGCCGGGGACCCTGTAACTCCCTGCGACCCCCAGGAGCCAGCGTGGGGGTCCCCAACCCCCCTCACCCTCCCAGTCCCCTGGGCGACAACCCCGCGGAGGGGACCGAGAGGCCCCTAAATCTCACTGCGCCCCACGGGGGTGAGCGCTGGGGCCCACAAACTCCCCCCCAGCACCCCCGGGGCTGGGGGACAGGCAACGCCCGGCGCCCCCGGGACACCACCGGCTCCGAACCCCGCCGCAACCCACGGGGCGAACGCGGATGTAGCCCCGCACCCCAAAACTCCACGGGGAAAAACCCGGAAGCCCCAACAACCACCCACAGAACTCCCACCGAAACGCGCCCCCTCTCACCTCCCCCGGCCCCGCCGCCGGAAGCGGAAGCCACCGCTCGTACCGGGCGGGGCGGAGCCTCGTTAGGGGGCGGGGTCTCGTGGGGGGCGTGGCCTCGTGGGGGAGGTGGCCTCGCTGGGGGGCGGGGCTGCGGCGCAGCCGGCAGGGGGCAGTAGGCGGCCGGGAGCGGCGCGCCGGGAGCGCGCGCAGGCGGGGGCGCGCGCGGCAGGTGGGCGGGGACAACCCCCCCCCCCCCCCCACGGACACCCTCCCCCCCACCCCCCCCCCACGGACACCCTCCCCCCCACCCCCCCTTGCGGGGCACACCCACCCCCCCTCTCCACGCGGGGCACTGCCCCCACGCTCCTCCCCCCCCCACGGCGCGGGCACCCCCTCGGCGCGCACCCCGGGAGCAGGTGCGCGGGCAACCCCCCCCACCCCTTGGGCACACGCGAGTGCACGACCCACCCACCCCCCACTCCACACCCCACCCCCCCCCCCCCGTGCGCAGACACGACCCCCGCAAAACGGCCCAGATGCGCGCAGCTTGCTCGCGCGCGCACGGCGCACACGGCGCAAACACGGAGTGGGGGGGGGGGGGGGGGGGAAGGGGAAAAGGGGGGGCACGCCCACGCGTGCACAAGCTAGTACACCGACGAGGTGTGCACGCACATGCACACCCACGCACGTAGCTGCATATCCCCTCCCAGGGCTTGGGATGGCTTCAGCTCCAGCTCTGCCACCCGTGGGAGTGGGTGTGTGTCTGGGGGTGTCATGTGATCGTGCAACCCCTCCCCTCACCCCCCCCCCCCTCCGCCAGGCACCAGCCCGGTTCCCCAGCCAGCACCCTGCTCTCCCGGGAGCACCCACTGCAGGGAATACCCACACCCACCCAGGATGGGCTGGGGGTGCTGGGGAGGGGACACCGAGTGGCTGCCACCCCCCCAAGGCTCAGAGGTTCGGGGGATTTTGGGGGCTTCCGGGGGGGAGGGGGTGCTGCCCACAGCACCCCCACACCCTCTCCTGCTGAACGAGCTGCTGGGGGAGGCGTTAGCCCAGGATTTATTGGTATTATTATCATCATCATTATTTTTATTATTATTCTGGTGGAATTTCCAGACGCGGGGAGCTCCGGAGAGCCGGCAATAACTGAAGCCGCCTTGGGTTTCCTATTTACGTATTTATTTTATTCTGATGGAGCGCTTCCAGATTTCAGCAGGCAGCCGTGGCCCGGGGGCAGAGGGGGCGAGGAGGCTGCGCCAGTTGGGCATTTTTCTGACATGCCGTCACGCTCCCCCCCGTGTTTCCCACCCTTCCCTTCCCTACACAAAGTGGGGTGCCAGAGTGGGGGACCCCAGTGCCCACAGCCCCCCAAAACCACCTTCACGGCAGGGCAGGGGGTCTCAAGCCCTTTGCAGGGTGGCTGCTGGCTCCGGTGCCGCGGGGATTCGGCGCGTGGGGTCCCCCTCGCAGCCCAGCGGCCCCCGTGGGTCGGGTTTGAAGGGGCAGCATCTCCATTCTGTCCTGAGTGGGGGTGGAAATAATCCTGTGCAAACGCCCTGGGCAGGGACCGGAGGGGAGATGCAGCAGGAGGAGTAACGGGGAGCGAGGATTTCTCCCTCTGCGTGGAGGATGTTTGATGCCTGCGTGGCTCTGGGTAAAGCCCAAACCCTCTTTGCTTCAGTAAAACCCCAGACTCTCCGCAGTTGGGGTGGCAGCACCGGGCACAGCCACTGTCCCCCAGTTGCGTGGCACTGGTGGGGACCGTGCAGTGTCCATCCCTCTGTCAGACACCGTTTCGGGGGGACACACACACCCCCCCTGCATTCCCCACGGTTGGTTGGGAAAGGAGGGCTGGTGAGCGTGGGTCCCCCCACTGTCACCTCTGACCCCAGCCATGTTGGCCCTGGGGATGAGAGTTGACCCTGTGAGCACCGCAGAGGCTTTGCCCCCACCCTAATAACACCCCCCAGCTGGAAAGGAGGTTTTGGGGGTGCAGCGTGGGGTCAAACCCAGCCCTGGGAGGTGTCAAGATCAGAGACCCGAGGGTTGAAACCCTTCCCTGGCCATCAGCACAGTGAGGCCAGCGCAGGGCCGGGCACACGGGAGACCTTCCCCGGAGCATCCCTGCCCCGGTCCTGCCGTGGCTGTGCCATGAGCCACAGCCTCCGGGGAGGCGACTCCCTGTCCCCACATTTCTTGGGTGAAAAGATCTGTTTTGCAAATAGGGACATCGCTGGCGCAGTTTGAGTGCCCGGCTAAAATAACAGCGTCAGGATCTGCCCCCTTCCTCCCCATCGCCTTGGCGGGGCGGACTAGGAAGAATGTGAGTTGGCTATCCATCAGGGAGACAGAGCAACAGCCAGCCGAAGAAAGAGGGGCATTTTAGGAGGAAAGCCAGGGAAATTTGATCATTAAGAAATCCTCCTGGCTGTCTGGGGGAATTTAATTAAATTGCTGGAAAGGGCTGTAAGCACATCTGGATCCAATATGTGCAGCTTTGATTTTTTTCTTTCTTTCTTTCTTTCTTTTTTTTTTTTTTTTTTTTTTCAGTTCACTCTTTTCCCATCTCGCTGTTGAAGGAGGGGGGGAATAAAAGGGAAATAGCAGAGCCACGGAGTATTGGTTCATCTGGGACTGGGATTCCTGGCAGGGAAAGAAAGAAGGAGAGAAAGAAAGAGCAAAAGAAAAAGACAGAGGGAATAAGAAAGCTGGGAGAAAAACCTTCACCAAGGGCCTGGCTGGGGTGTTTTATAATGCCACCGACCGCAGAGACAAGGAGCTAGGAGGGAGCAGGGAGCTGTGAGAGCTGGAGGGGAGAGGAGGAGGAGAGGAGCTATCCCAGGGCACGCTGCGCTTTTGGAGTCTGGCAGGGATGGAGGGAGGAAGAGGAATTGCTCAGTGGATAGATAAATACCATTCCTGCCGGGAGCGGCAGGGCTGAGCACAGGGGGACTCTTCCAGCAAGTGCCCCTGGCTGTCACCCCCGTGGGCCTGGTGGCCCGAGCCCTGGCCCACCCCGGTCCGCTCAGCACCGGGGGCAGGATGGGGATGCTCTGGTCCCCAGCCCCGGGCAGGACACAGGGCTGGGCATGGCTCCGATTTAAGCCGAAGGGGCAGGCCACCCTGCTCCCCCTGTGTCGTGGAAGGGATCGTTCCCCGGCCACTCGCCCCGAGAGCTGGTCACTGGGTCCTGGCCACGCACCATCAAGCCCCCACCACCTCCCATACTCTACTCCTTACTCTGTGCATCCTCCTTATGGTGCAGCAGAGGTGCATCTCCACAGTAAGAAACCCCCTTCCACCCGTGGGGCATGTGAAGCCAGCCCAGTTTCTCTGTGAGACAGTATCCATAGGGCAAGATTTGGGGAATTTTAAGGAGAAATGAGCACCCGGGTACTGCAGGGAGCAGCACCAGCCCAAGCAGAGCTCCAAGGATGCTGCACCCTCCCGCCCCAGCCACTGCTGCCGTTCGGGGCTGAGGAGGGTGCTGGGTGGGCAGAGCACCTCTGGATCCGTGCTGTGGAAGTGCAAGATGTTATCACAGCATGAGAGAAATATCAGGAAACCCCCAGGAAGAAACAAAGTGAGATGACAAAAAAATAATGCTGTGGGTTTGGGTTTTTTTGTTGTAAGAGAGGAAGATGAAGGACTGGCAAACGGAAACCCATTCATCCCAAGGGCTGCAAACTGCAAACCTGGCAGGCTCTGGGGGCCGGATCCTCACCCCCAGGAGCCTGGCACGGTTCTGCTGTTCAGTGCTGCTCGGGTTCATCAGCCCAACAGCTCTGGCTCAGCAAAGCCGGACTCTGAGCACACAGCCAGCTCAGCAAAACCCAGGCGCTTGGTATTAGGCAAAGCAAACCTGCTTGGCTTCATCTTCAAACCACCCGTGCTTTGCCCTAAGCATGGTCAAGAGTCACCTTGCCAGCTCCAAGGTCCAGTTTTAATCACTTAAAACATAATTTTTACAAAAAAAAAAAAAAACAAAAAACAAACAAACAAACAAACAAAAAAAAAAACACAAAACAAAACAAAAAAGAGCTTGCACAAGAGTTAGGAAATGCCAGGAGGGTGGGTTTCAAATAACTGGGTCTCACTTCAAATGCCTTGTGTGGCTGGCAGAGTTAAAAAAAAAAATGATGCTTGATGCTGGGGGAAAAAAAAAAAAAAAAGGCAAATCCTACAGCTAAAAAGGAAATTGCATTAATACAGATTGTTTTATTTAAAAAAAGCAAACCCTGACCTCTACTTCAAAAAAGTCATTAGACATTCTCCTTCTGAAAGGCCGACAGGGGATATTACTGAAAGGCCAGTTAATTTCTCAATGACTTACTGTTCTTACTCTGCTCATGGAAATGTGTAAAGAGTCGGAGGGTAATTTAAGGCACCCTGCAGAAAGGTGTGTAAATCTTTGCATGTCTAAAGAAACTTTACCAGACCACTAGGATTGGGAAAAAAGAAAATGCTTGCCCTCTTTTTTTTTTTTTTACTTCTTTTTTTTTTTTTTTTTTTTTTTTTACTTTCCTTTGGAACTCTGATCCCCTTTGATCATAAAAAAGGTCATATTTCACCCAAAAAAATATCAGCAATCACAGGGCCCGAGGAAGTGCGAACCCAAGGGGGTTTCACCGACGATTATTCCCTCCATTTAATTATTTAATGCCGTGAACTGAGGGAAAGCCGTCTCCCCTGGAAAAGCCAGACAGTTC